GGGTGCAGTGTCACCTGGCAGAGCAGGTCCTGCAGGTGGCTGGCGCAGGCGGCGTAGACAGGCTGGTCCAGGCGGCCGCTGATGCTGTAGTACCGCTCCATCAGCGCCCGGTCCTGCTCCGCGTCGCAGCAGCCGAAGTCCGAGTACTGCACGCAGAAGTCGAGCGGCTGCGGCGGCCTGAAGGGCGGCTTGAAGTCCAGACACTGCGGGTGCGGGCGCACCTGGCCTAGCCCGGTGAGCAGCAGCAGCGCCAGGAGCGGGGGCCGCTGCCCCGGCCTGGCCCAGCCGGGACCCGGCGCCGCCTTGCCATGTGCCATGCTGGGCGCTGGGCTCAGTGCGGCGGAGAGCCTGGCCTCCGCCCGCTCACACGCCCCTCCAGGGCGGGCTCGGGTTATGCAATCCCTGGGCCGCCCCTTGGGCTGCGCCTCGCCCGGCCGCTCCCACCCCTCCGGCGCTGGGGGCAGCCTGGCCGCACCGGAACCCAGCTGGCCAGCAGAGGCGAGTCCCCGGCCGCCAGGGCGAGTGCTGGCCGGTCCCGCTCTCTGCTGCTAACGGTTCCCTAGGGCCGGGGGCCCCGGAGTCAGGCTGAAGCGCCGCCCCGGCTCTGGGCAGAGCCAAGAGCAGCTGCAGGGAAGGAAGCGCATGTGGAAGAAGCAACTTTGGCAAAGAAATTCTGGGCTGCGGCTCGGCGGGGGGGAAATAGCTCCACATAGCTCAGGGCTGTGAGCAGTTCACCCCCATCCCATGGCGACACATAAAACCCCACAGTGACATAGGTGCTGCTGTGGCACTTCAGATACTACAGCCACCGGAGGGGTTCTCCCAACTCCACCTCCACAATTGGCCATGGCTAGAAATTAGAATTCACTCCAGCGGACACTGTCTGCACCAGGCACTCAGTCAGCTTAGGGGGATTTGGGGGGATTTTTCACACCCCTGTGGGACAGAGTTGGGTCAATCTGATTTTTTGGTATTGTCCAGCCCTAAGAGACATATTTAGGTCAACTTAACCCCCAATGTAGACACCACTAGGTGGATGGAAGAATTCTAGCTACTGCCTCTGGGAGAGGGGGGAAGGGGAGCTCAGTGGTTTGAGCATTGGCCTGCTAAATCCAGGGTTGTGAGCTCAATCCTTGAGGGGGCCATTTAGGGATCTGGGGCAAAAATCTGTCTGATTTAGTTGGGGATTGGTCCTGCTTTGAGCAGGGGGTTGGACTAAATGACCTCCTGAGGTCCCTTCCAACCCTGATAGTCTATGATTCTATGATTAACTACAGCAATGGAATCTCCCAGAATCAGCCTCAATCTCCCGGAACAATCTGGGAGATTTTAATAGGCCAAAAGTCCAGTTGGTAGCGCAGTGGAGCTAAGGCAGGCCCTGAAGCAGCTGGCATGTCCCTGCAGACTCTAGACACAGGGGCAATCAGGGAGGCTCTGCGTGCTGCCCCCACCCAGAGCGCTGGCTCTGCAGCTCCCATTGGCCAGGAACCGCAGCCAATGGGAGCTGCGGGGGTGGTGCCTGTAGGCAGGGGCAATGCGCAGAGCCGCCTGGCCACCCCTGAGCCTAGGTTCCAGGCACGCCAGTCACTTCTGGGAGCCACCTGGCTGGAGACTGCACCCCAAACCCCAGCCCTGAGCGCCCTCCCGCACCCAAACTCCCTCCCAGAGCCCACACCCCTCACCTCCTCCTGCACCCCAACCCTGTGCCTCAGGCTCAGCCCAAAGCCCCCTCCCACACTCTGAACCCCTTGGCCCCAGCCCAGAGACCGCACCCCAACCCCCTGCCAGTGAAAGTGAGTGAGGGTGGGGGAGAGTGAGCGATGGAGGGAGGGGGATGGAGTGAGACGGGGTGGGACAGAGGTGTGGCCTCAGGGTGGGGCTAGGGTATTTGGGTTTGTGCGATACGACAGTTGGCAACCCTGGTTACAGTGGCGCAGGCCTGGTTTAGTGCAGACATAGGCCTGGTTTACACTAAAAAAGTTAGGTTGACCCAGATACATCGCTCTGGGGTGTGAAAAATCCACACTCCCAAGTGACGCAGTTAAGTTGACCTAAGTCCCCGGTGTAGACAGCACTAGGTCAACAGAAGAATTCTGTCAACCTAGCTACCACCTCTTTGGGAGGTGGATTACCTAAGCAGATGGAAGAATCCCTCCTCTCAGCGTAACTTCTGTCTACACTGAAGTGCTACAGCGGCACAGCTACAGACATGCTGCTGTAGTGTTTCAAGTGTAGACAAGCCTAAAGTGACTTACGAGACTAGTTCAGAAGTGATGTAGGCATGTGAGCCAAGGCCTATAGCACTTTTCAGAATGGGACTCATCCTCTTAAGTCACTTCAGAGCTGCTGAAAGTTTTGCCCACTGTCCAGAGTTGGTGAGGGGTGTCATTTCAGAAAAATTATTGGAGAAGGGAAAAGTTTTGTCACATATAGAACATTAAATTTGTTATATTATATCCTGCAAAGTCGGGTTGGGGGGAGAGCATGGGGGAAAAGTGATAGACATCCATCATAGAGCATATAGAGCTATAATGGACCATATAGACTAGTGGTTCTCAAACTTTTTTTTCCACAGACCACTTGAAAATTGCTGAGGGTCTCGGTGGACCACATAATGATCTTTCCAAATGTTGTTTGTACCATTAGCTAACTGTTGTGAAGCGCTTTGGATAAAAGTGCTATATAAAAAACCCCTTAATAATAATTAACTTTTCTGTTCTACAAATAAAAGCACAACTCATATTTTAATATCAGTAGTCTTACCTTTCTAATGCAATGGATGTGCCCTCTCTCCCCCGCCGCAGCAGCCCCCGAGCTGGGGCTGGGAAGGAGGGGGATCTCTCCCTCTCTCCCCCGCTGCGGCAGTCCCCGAGCTGGGGCAGGGAAGGAGTGGGGCCTCTCCCCTGCCACAGCAGCCACAGAGCTGAGGCTGGGAAGGCGGGCCGTCTCTCCCTGGCAACTGCAGCCCTGGAGCTGGGGAAAGTCGCCTCATTCTCTGGCCGCCACAGCCCTGCACATCCCAAATTCCCCCCACCCCCTCTTCTCATCCCACTGCCCCCTCCCACCTATCCCCTATTCCCCCCAAGGCCACTACCTCATCTTACACATGCGTCTTCTCCAGGGTCCATGCACCTAATTAGTGCAGCCATGCCTGCGTGGCTCCACTAATTAGATGGGTGGCCCTTCATTCTCTTGTATGTGGACCTTAGAGGGAACTATCCGTGGACCACCAGGCATGCACCTTAGAGGGAACTATCCGTGGACCACCTGAATGGAGCTTGGACCACAGTTTGAGAACCTCTGATATAGACTTTTGAAAAGTCTGGGGTGGAGGGCAATTGCCCCCCTTGCTGCATAGTAAATGGTGCCCCTGGAGCTGGTGGGAATGTTTTTGCTGAAACATTTTTTTCAGTGAATAATGGCTTTTGGGCCAAAACAAAAAGTTTCATTTTAGTTTGAAATTTTCCATACACATTTTTCAGAAAACTTTTTTCAGTTAAAATTTTTGGTTTTCAAAAGCAGGAAAATTGTTTGAGTTTTTTTAATTGAAAAACCAAAAAATGTTTGTGGGAAATCTTAAAAAGTACTTTTTCCTGAAATTTCCCATTAAAAATAATGGGTATTTTTCAATCAGCTCTACTATAGACCAAACAGAGAGAGTGAGAGAGAGAGAACAACTTCCAAAAATGAAGGGCAGGAAAATTTTGGAAGCACTGTATCTTTAAAACCCTCATGGGATTCTTCTCAATTTGATCCAACAAATTTTCCCCTTAGCTGTAACATGAGAAATTCTAGGAAGACTGGTTTGATTTTTGGTAAAGATAGCAGTGGGGTTTTGAAAATTGGGCTTATAATGGGAAGCTATGTGCAACCTTCACTTTGAGGGGACTGGGGCCCTTCGTAAGAACCATTCAGAAGATGTGATTTGAATAGACAATGTACAGTGGAAATAATTATATATATGTATTTACAGTATAATGAACATTTTGGAAAAGTGATGGAAAGTCTTGAGTCTGGTTCCTGCTGTACTGCAGCCTGCTAACTACATACACATACAGTGTAAAGATAATAGTATTGTGTTGCTTTGGATTGAAATGGATAAGAAATATACAAATTTTAAATGGAAATTAGGGCACTTTTCTACAAAATTGCATCAGGACTGCCAAACTGATACCATAGTTAAACAGACTATTGTGAGTGCCCATCTTGATTCCAAATCTTTAAGTTAATATATTTCCTTAACATTTTCTAATGTAAACAGTTGTCTAAAGTGCATAGTTGCATTATAATTTATTTGGTCAACTATTTAAACTGGTGAAGGTGAGTTTTTTATTATGTTAGTAATATAAAACTTCAGTCACAAAAAGAATAAATCAGAGTAATATTGTAATTTGGAAAGAAGTTATTTAGATTATGACTTCAGCTTCATTCGGTGTAGTCAGCGAAGACTCAGAGTGAACAATATATAATAATAATTAGCATTGATGTGACTTGCTTACAGGCCATGTTAACAGTGAGATATATTTAGAAGCAAGAAAATTCAGGATCAATACAGCTAGTGTTTTTACTGTAACTAACTTCTACATTCTTTGGTATTATAAGGTCAGACTCTGATCTGGCCTAGCTTTGTACAGCCCTAGATGCTGCTGAAATGGTGCTCAAGGTGCCTTTTACACCGTATGTTTGTGGCTCCCACATACAGGGACCAGCCATTGATTGATTTGGTTTGGACCCTGCCTGAAGACTGCTCTAACTTAGCATGCCTATCTGTGGTCCAAAGGGCCTTTTCTGACAGCCAGGGATAGCACTTTTGACATGCTCTTTTTCCCAATGATTCTGCACCATGGGTGAGGTTCCAACTGTATGCTACCCAGGGATTCCCCATATGCAAGGGAATTCAAAGGTAGCTAGTTATACCAGCTTTCCATCAGTTTTGCACCACCATTGTGAGAAAAAGATTCTGAGCCATAGGGTCCAGTCTCACACTTCCCACCTATAGGCATTTGCTATGTAGTACTTGGAAATATTTACTTCAGAGATTGGGTTAAGTACCATATTTAGATGGCAATTTTTTGTACATCATACTTAATGTCATATTGTTTGTATAAAGCCCCCAAGGTGCATTGTAATTTTAGCTGTTAAATACTATTATCCACATTTCAGTGTGATAAGTTAATATTAAAATCTAGAAAATACATAAAAACAAAATAATTTGGAGATAAGCTGCCATGCTATTTTTAACTCCTACTTTGATACCAAAGTATTGCTGTATAGTGCATACGGAGTATAAGATCGCTGCTTGGTTTGAGAGACCCTGTCAGAAGACCATATGCACTAAAGCATTTAATAAGAGATTTTTTTTCTTCTCCATATGCGTGTGTAACTATTGCTAATGCCAATGAGAGCTATGCATATGTGTGGACAACAAGAATGTGTGGTCGTCTTAACTCAGAATTCTCTTGCTGTTGTGCATTTATGTTTGTGTTGTAAAGACAAAT